TGTTTCTGACAGTTTGCTGACAGGGGGGATTCGGCTGTTTTGTTTTCGAGAGAAAGAGACACAGGGAGAAATTACATGTGTATGTGTTTGTTACGTCTCTGCTTTAATCAATTAGTGATTTTTGTGAAATGTGGATCGGAATTAATTAGCAACAGGAACTGAGTGAAAATATGGCTGGTCACACAAGTTGTTATTTCAAGGGACAAACCTCCCGACGTTTCCATTACAGGATGTTCTCTTGTGCCATTTGGCAGACCAGTGTAGCCGTGTGATTTTGGTTCTTGCACATTGTGAATGAAAAAAGACCAAAGAAAGAGAGAAAGAAAGAGTATGTATGTGCATTTCTTTAAGAGAAGGATGCTTGTTATCTTCACACACACATACACACACACACACACAAACACACACACACACACACACACACACACACACACACACACACACACACACACACACACACACACTGGCCCGCCTAGTGTATTTCCCTCCTGGCTTTCCAATTTAAATGCAAATGTTCCCAAATCGGACTCCACAAAGACGCAGAGGCAAAAATCATTTGACGCAGCGATGAATTATATATTTTAATTAAGCAGCCAAAAGAATCACGCCTATTCAGCTCTTTCCCCTCCAATAAGAAATGAATAAATAAATATGGAAGACGGGAAGAAGGAGGGAATAAATGGGAGGGGTCAGGGGAGGGAAGGATGGATGGATAAAGGGAGGAGGGTTTGTATTGAGTTTGTGTGATTGCAGCGCTAACCGCCCGTGGGCTATCATTATGTGAGCGATCTGAAGCTGTCAAATTTCAAAACTGTATTGTTTGCTGATAGACGGGCTAAATACCCCCACAGTTTCAAGTGCGCGCACGCACACACACACACACACACACACACACACACACACACACACACACACACACAGTTACTAGAGTGTTTGCACCCGGAGAATCCCATATGCACATGCACACCCACACACACACACACACACAAATACACACACATACCATTTGGGTTTTGATGGGCGAACCAGCACTTAGAAAATGAAGAGCAGAGATGGGGATTGTGATGCTCTGACAAGGGATGCAATTTTAATTTCACCCCCTGTCACTCTCCTCAATATCTTCTCAGATGAAATACATATGAACTGCCAATCACTCACACATACAAACAGACGCGCGCGCGCACACGCTAAACACACAATCGTTCTCTCAGTCACATTCACACTTGCAGACTCTTACTGTTTCTATCTTTCAAAGTCACAGGTGCGCACACACAAAGGCTCATCGCTTCATATATTGAAACTCAAAAGCAGACTTTATCTTTTCTTTTTTCATTTTTTAAAGGCAAATGCCTCTCACTCCACTGTTAATCATTTTTAAGATGGTTTAACTCCAACATGTAAGTTCCCCAACTGCCTTAAAAATAAGGGAAGCGAAGTTGACTCATCATGAAGTTCAAAGTCATTTTAGGAGTTTTGGATGTAAAATGAACTGAGCTTGAGAGAAGAACTTCAACAGACATAAGATCTTTAGTTGAATCAGTTCAGTCACAATCATAATAACACTCAGATTGTTTGTCTTTTCACATATTCTCAGTTTAAAGAGTCATTTTTCCATTTGAAGAACGCGCGACTAAAACAACTTTTCTCACCAGTGTCTGTGCGATGAAAACATCTGATGCTGCTCCCAGCGACCGTGTTAAATTAGGGAATTAATTCAACACCAACCTTCCTCGTGGTTTGGATTTTTTTTCACCATTATGAGAAGAAACAACCGCGACTTGCCTTCAGATGTATTTAAGATACACATCAAGTTTCCATCATGTCTGTCTTCTTTAGACTACAAAAAGGAAGAGTCTCTGGAGAGGTTTCACTCTGAAAAGATGAATGCCGGGAAGTCTGCAATAAGAAATATGCTAATACGCTGATGATGTTTCTTTAATGTAATGAGCTGAGTGAACTATCAGCAGTTTATCCAGTCAACTCATTATATAACACACTTCAAGTCTGAGCAACTCATGTTTTGAAAATTTGATACCTAGAAAAAAAAAAAACATGTAGATTTACTTATTGTTAATGAGAAAAAAGATTAGTTGACTGTGTTTCACAGTGCTGAAATCTACTCCTCTGTCATAAAAAAAAAAACACCTGTGGATTTTTAACATTCATGTGCTTGTGTGTCTGCATGTATGTTTGCACAAATAACATACAAAGAACACGTGAAACAAACCTTAATAGCGCTATTACAGAACTTCACCCACTTTTCACTTAGAGAGTTTCCTTCTATTATTTTCCGCGCAGTGAAAAGCAGCTTGCGGTGTAACTGTGCAGCAAAACACATATTAGAGCAAGTGTGATTAAAGCGAGGGTGCAAAATCTGTAAATGTTAACTATGCAAATTGGAGTGCAGATCAGCATTCAACAGATGGAGCAGCAAGTGCAAGAAGTAGCTCAAACGTATCAACTACACATGCGACAACAATGCTCCCATGCCTCAAACAAACACAAAACAACAAGAAAAATGGATGCACACAACATCTTCCTTCCCTGTCACTGCACACTTCAAAAAAGACAGTGTTGTTGTTTAACCTATTAAAGCCGGTGAGAAGCGGATGCTTAAAACAGACGATTGAAATGATCCTCTATGGTTACCATTTATTGTTTACACCTCAGAGACTGCACTTTTAAGATTGTTGTGCTACACAATCTAATGTATACGATTATCCACAGTTTGAAATCAAACATCATTTGATTTCCTGGTCTGCTGGAAAAGAAATAACAATGGGGAAATTTTAGAATATTTTTTTTAATACAGAATAAAAACCAATTAACTTATAATTATGTGTTTATTCTACATACTATGTCGCAGGACGCAAAGGCCAGACCAAAATGAGACAATCGTATAACAAAGTGCAATCCTCAGGCTGTCTGTCGGCGTTGTTTGCTTTCATTGCCAGCGCGCAATGAATCTTGGGATTGGTTGGGCCATGAAGGATGTTCTTTTTTTGGTGTTTTATTCTGTCTCTTTCTTCTGGTTTTCATAATTTTCAGACAGTGTTGCAGGGAGTAACTTGAATGCCACTGTCTTAATGATTTCTAAAACACCTCCCAAAAATCACTTTGTGTTGCTTCGACAAAAAAAGAAAAAAAAAAAAAAGAAAGCACACCTGAAATGTTATTTGAAAACCTCAGACTTCTTCAATTAATTAACTTATGAAAGTTTTATGCTTTTATTTATTTTTTGACAGAATAATTTTTGTGGTTTATGTAAATCCGTGTTTGATCATCACTGTAATAACCTGTTTGAGTGTAAAAGCATTTTCTTTTCAAACACCATTAGTTTGGTTGTTCATGAGAATCCCTCGTGTGTTTAATGTCTTCGACTGTTTCATTGCCTTATGACATTTTAGTCCGACTGTAAAAGCTTTTTCATGTTCTTGAACGTCACTCAGCAATGCTTGCAGATATGTCTCTTTCGTTCTGGGATGCTTAAACATGGTGTAGTGGTGTTCAAGATCAGCCTTAACAAAAAGAGACAGGGAGAGTGAAGGATATGATATGTAGGAGGAGATCTGAGAGATACAAAGTGAAGTGGGTGAAAAAGACTCAGAGGGAGAGAGAGAGAGAGAGAGAGAGAGACATGGTAAAAGGAGAAGTGCAGAAGAGAATCAAGAGGAAGAGTAAAAGAAAAAAAAAAAGCAGCTGAAGCTAAACAAAGAGCAAGAGGTAATGGGAGATGACAGTGGTTTGTAACAGCTGGAGTCTTGCATTAAAAGAACAAGGAAATTCACTTTCCTTTCTTTGCCTCTATTTAGAGTGCTCACTCTGTTCTCCACACGCAGACACAAACACCTTACTCACAGCGAGTCTCAGCAGCGAGCAGACCCTCAGACAACCTCTGTCTGTAAGAGAGCCAACTATCTCTCCTCACTGATCGGGGGGGGGGGGACACGACAGAGAAGAGGATCTGGGTTCAAGCCCCCTTTTTGGCAGGCTTCAGCCCTGCTGAAGCATCCTTGAACAGGATGGTGAATTCGTACAAGCTCAAGTGGTGTAGATTTTTTTATTTATTTATTTGTTTGTTTGTTTGGAGCTGACCCTGACCTCTGACCTCATGTCTTTAAGCCATACAGAAGCAGAGATGGGAAAACATTTCAACATATACAATATGTTGCATATTACGGGTTAATTAGTTAGTTAGTTAAGACAGAGCCAGGCTCGCTGTTTCTCCCCTGTCTCCAATTTTTGTGCTAAGCTACATTAGCAAAGTTAGTTGAGAGTGTCATCAAAAAAAAGGGGCAACAAAAGCAACTACCAAGATGACAAACTCTTCCTTTAACTTACAAGATAAGTTCTTTAAATAAAACACCTTCAGTGGTATTGATAAGCAAATGTGTTTATTTGCCAAAATTTTACAATTTTTAGACATTAAAGGAATGAATGATGCAAGATGCAAGATGGGGAGAAAGAAGAAAGAGACTGAAAGATAAGGAAACAAAAAAGGCAAGAAGAGAGCATCCTTCAACTCCTCATCTCTTATAAACAAGAAGTACCTGAATGTTAAAATTGAGGTTTTAAACATTTTACGAGGCAAAAAGATGGAAAGGGGAAGTCCGTGACGTCTTGTTGTTTCACATGAAAGCTGTGTGTTTGTGTGTGCTATACCTTTAAGAGCTGCTGGCCATAGCCCATCCCAGAGAGGATGGACCCATTAGCTGATGAACAGAAAGAGAGAGAGGGGTGTGTGTGTGTGTATATGTGTGTGTGTGTGTATGGGGGGGTGTTATACAGTGAAAAGGATAACAACAGTGAGAAGTAAAGAAAGAAAATCCTTTTTTTTTAAAAAAAAAAAAGAAGGAGAGTTTGATGAGTGAGAAGGAAAAAGAACAGGAAAGAGAGAAAGCCACTTCAGGGACTGTAATAGTGAAAGGAGACACTGACAGAGACACTGAGATATTGAGATAGGACAGGAAGCAGCTATCTCTCCATCTCTTACATGGTGTCGTGGGTGTCTATGGGTCTGTCAGTCAGTCGGGACGACAGGTGGACGCTCTCGCTCGCCGGCCCTCTGCCTCTCTGTCTGTCCCCCTCGCACGCGCTCCTCCAACGCTGATGACTTTGCTGTGTGTGTGTCTACAGATGGCAAACCTTGTGACATCGTTGTGCTGTGTAGTTCTGGCCGCGGTGGTGGTAGCCTACGCTCAGAGACGCAGTCAGCTTGGTGAGTATGCATTTTTATCTTCATTACCGCTGTCCTGTCTCCTCCTCCGTGCTGAGGCCCCTCTCTGTTTCTCCTTCTTCGATTTTGTCCGGTCGACCCAGGCGGGACGGTTAACCTTGAATCTATTCTACTATGCTCTTTTCTTCCCCTCAACTTTACTGTTACCCCACCGTTACCTACTCTACTGTATTATCTCTCCTTTCCTCTACTCCAGTCTTTGCTTACTTAATCTCTTCTATACTTAGATACCCTTCTTCCTGCTGATGGTTTCTGTCGTTTTATGATACTGACAAAGCCAGTCATCTTTCTTTTTTCTATATAAACTTGATTTTATGTGTCTTGAGATCATTTGGAGAAAGAAAAATTGCTCAGCTTACTTTCTTTCTGCTTTTGTTTTTTTTTATTGTGATTTAGTTGACCACTTGTGGAGCTAGGGTTAAGATTTTGTTGTATAGTTCTGGATTTTAGCCAATGACTTCGGTGCGTGTGATTTCGGTTTGAACTACGGTGGCTGTTTATTCGCCGTGAGGTCAGCAGTTAAAAAAGCAAAATGTACCAGTCACTCACAAACAGAGAAACAATATCTGACCCAGTCTTCTAGTCATCCCTCACTGCGTGGTGCTAATATTTTGGCCACATTGCCAAGGTTACCTCCATAACAAATAAGGATTCAACAAAGAAGCCAGTCAGGTCAACTGATGATCATGAGCGTGTTTCAAATGATTTGTGTGCTGAGGTTTAGAGGGAGAGAAGAGAAGCTGAAAAGACCTTCATAATGCAGTGACTGCTTTTCTGAGAATTCACATAGGATGCATGACCATAAATTAGAGCATGTGTGTAAATGGTGTGTGTGTGTGTGTGCTTAACAGGGGAGTCAATTTGTCACTTGACTTTTAGTGGAGAGTGGCTATGGCTTATTAGCCAATGAGGCCGGGTCTGTTTAAGTCAGCTCACCCAAAGAAAGAGTCTTAGGAAGTCAGAAAGTCCCCAGTGACGCACATCACGATGTCACGAGGGTCATAATACACACACACACACACACACACACACACACACACACACACACACACACACATACACATTAACTGAGCAGAAATGGCTTAGGGAATAGGAATGTTGTCTTTGAGGAAGTGAAAGTGAAAGAGGGAACAAAAAAGAATACATGAAAACTGAACGAAATTGAGAAAATAGAGAAACGATGGGAGGGAAATGGAAACAGACAGACAGACAGATTGAAAATGAAACTCAGGAGGAATAACAATTGATGCTTGATGGGGAAGAGTCCAGGTTAAAGCACGGAGGAAATGAGTGTTGTGTGTTGAAAGCCTGAGACTACTACTACTACTTTATTTTAATACAACTTTAGTCTCTTAAAATACATGGAAATCAAGTTAAACTTCTGAACCTCATTGTATATGTTCTCAATATTCTTTTCAGCTTAAAATGTAGCTGTATTGTGATGATCGATCTTTATCTATTTTTATTTTTTGTGCTTTTCAGATGAGCAGAAAGAAGTGAAGGGAGAAAAAGGTGAAAAGGCAGGACTGCAGGGAATAACAGATATAGATAGAGCGAGGAATGAATAACATGAATAGAAGAAAGAGAGCTGTCAGTTCCGTCTTTGGGAAGAATTGTATGTGTGTGTGTGTGTGTGTGTGTGTGTGTGTGTGTGTGTGTGTGTGTGTGTGTGTGTGTGTGTGTGAGCTAGCGAGCACTGTAGTGTAGCTGTCACTGTCTATCACTTGCCTTTGTTTTCTGTGCTACATGGGACCAGCTGCCACACACACACACACACATATACACACACACACACGCCTGCAACATGAGTGCACAAACCTATACAGAATTACAAATACAGTATAACACACAAATACCCAAATATGAAAAGCCATCATAACACAGGCATCACCAAATATCAATAATGTAGTAATAGTATTGCCAGATATACCTTTGCCCCCAGTATCATGTGCACACACACACACACACACACACACTGAGACACACATATACACATCTGTCCGTCTTGGAAAGTGCCTTGTTTCTCTGACAAATTGCAAGCCTGTTTGATTGACAGGAATCCCTGGGGTATGCCGCACTTGGCATGGAGTGTGTAACACACACACACACACACACACACACACACACACACACACACACACACAGTGAGAAAAAGAGACTAACATATGTGCACACACATACATATTCAATACAAAGGGATGGAATGGGGAAGAACTCTCTTATTAGGTTTGACTCAGTTGTACAAAATGCACATGTGTGTACCTATGTGTGTACATACCATCTGTGTGTGTGTGTGTGTGTGTGTGTGTGTGTGTGTGTGTGTGTGTGTGTGTGTGTGTGTGTGACATAGAGAGAATGGGAAATCCATTTGAGACGTCATAATTAATGGCAGCAGTGCATTGCTGAACAATGAGAAACACTGGTGGAAAACATTTACAGACAAATAGATACATGCGCCGCACATATAGAAATCAATGTTGTCTGGATGATGGAGGGACGGGAAGTAAAGGAGAGACAGACAAGGGAGGGAAACACACAAAGAGATGACAGACAGACAGAAGGGATGATAGAGGATGGACAAGCATGGCAAGAACTCATTCAAAAAAAAAAGGAAAGAAAATCATGTGTGAAGTACAGCATCAGATGGAGCACATGCATGAAGAAATACCCTTTGATGAAGATTTGATTAATATCAGGAAAGCTGTCATTATCCTTTTGTGTCAAGTAAACGTTATCCATAATCCATGCTTTGATTCAAATATTAAATAAATAAATGTTTCTAGAAAAAAAAACAAGCCCAAATGTGATTATGAATTCAGGAATAATCAGAGTAAGTGGTTGCGATGAGACTTAAGAGTCATTTCATATGAAGCATGAACAGAAATCTCAGAAAATAAACAGATAAAAACTGTTTTACCTCTTATTCAATGATTCTAATACTGGAGCAAATAAAATGAAATAAAAAAATCTACTATATGAATGGATTTGGATTAGTTATTAAAATCACATTAAGGCCTGAGAAGCAACATCTGACATGTAAATGATCCAGTATTTCATGGGCAAACATCGCTGTATGTCATTCACTGTGTATTTCCACTAATGCTGCATAATTCAGCAACCGGACTTTTTCCTCCCAAGTATAAAAACTTTTTATAAGTTCATTGAGTGTGTCATTTCCATTCAGCTTTTGTGATGTGATTGATTTAAAAAAAAAAAAACTCTTGGATAGAAACCCCAGCAAAGGAAACAACAGTCTCATAATGAAACCCCATTTGAAACAACAAAAAAGCAAAAGAAAAAGAAAATAATTGAAAGCTTTAAACCCGCAGAGAAAGGGAGTGAGACTTCCCTGAACATGAATTTGATTTTTGATTGCCAGTGAAAAACAGACGACGAGATGGTAAGAGGGGGACTGGGAAAGATATTGGGTAGGTGGAAAAGAAACAAGGCAGACACAGGAAACGACACGAGAGAATACAGAACAGAAGACAGACGAAGAGTCGAGAGTGAGAACGTGGGAGACGCGGAGTCAGAGAGGGCCAATGCTGATAACGGTCAGTTATTCAGACTGTTTTTTATGGTATATTACTCATATGCATATACACAAACAACTCTTGTTATCCATAAGATAACACAAAGCATGGCTTTAGCCTTACAATAAACTTCAGTGCCAGTATAAACCAGAGAGCAACTGTCAACATGAATTTCCTTGAATATTTACAGCTCTTAGCATCTATGTTAACAACCATTTCCCTGCTGTCCTTAAGCAAGATGCTGAATGTCAACTAGTTCCAGACACGCTGTGCTGATCCGCTGACCCTGACCTCTGAACTTCCTGTGGTCAGGGTGGAGGAGAAAGGGAAAAAAAGTCTTTCAAGAATTAACAACCCAATTTTATTCAGTAGTATTAGATAGACAACAGATTGCTTTGCCAGCACAGTCTCATGGTGATGAGATGAGTTAGCCTCTATCAGTATTTGCCAGTTGCCAGGAGGTAATGATGATAATGACAGTGGTATTGTATTGTCACATACATCAAATCTATTCTATTCTGGAATTATATCATATATACATATATATATATATATATAATTATATTATATTATATTATATTTGTGAAGACCTATAAAAATTTACTGCCAGGAGGTGAGTGCGTCGTCTAGTGTTTTGATTACTTGAAGAACTGACTATCCAACTGATGACTTAGGCTATGAAAAACAAGAACGAGAATCCCTTCTCATGGTCTTCACACACAGACGCAGTTAAAAACTGAATTTTCAAATGAAACAAAACACATTACTCATTGCTGCTCTGGATGTCTCTGCTTCTTCCAGATTATTCTATTTCAGCAGTGATACCATCACTCACATTACATACAAAGTGAATCCTCTCATGCATGGAGAACCTGAAGATTGATCACTTACATAGCTAAAATAAACCTTATTTTCTCTCGCTGTTTGTCTTGATCCTTTTTTGTCTCTTTATATTCACCTACTCCTCCCTCATCCTCTCTCTGTGTCTTTGGTTCTATCTTATTTTCAATCCTGAGATACACCAGAAAGTTCCTAGTCAAAGCGATACAATGCCATTAACGAGGTGCCTTACACAGTAAATACTGAGAACAAGCACAACACGAATATCAATGAGCAAAGTACAAGAACAATCAATAGAAAGTGGAGGAAGGCAGCAAAATAAATTAAGAAAATTAAATACAGCATGAGGGAAGTAGGGAGCAATTGGGATTGTTTACTCAGAGTTTGAGTGAATTTTGTATTTTGGTTTTTTTATAACCGCAGTTACATCTGCTCCTTCACCACCGTCTCTTCCTTGTAGTGTGTGTGTGAGGGAGAGTGTATGTGAGAGAGAGAGGAAGTGTGTGAATGCAGTGACATCATGCTTTTCACTGAGAGAGCATGTTATTTATTGGAGTCCATATCCTGATTGAGAGACGAACGTTTCCACTCATAATCATTCCCCCCACC